TTCGTACCGTTTATAAACCGAACCGATATTAACCCAGGTAAATCCGCCCCTAAACCGACCCATTTCAAACCAAACCGGCTTGATCCAAACCGTTTGTAAACCGAACTGACATTGACCCGGGTAAACCCGCCCCTTAAACCGACCCGTATCAAACCGAACCGACTTAATCCGAATCGTTTATAAACCGACCCGCTTATGACCCAAACCGAATTTAAACCGCAAAGAAATAAACCGAAACCAAACCGAGCCGTGACTAACCCAAACCGAACCAAACCGACCCGCCAGCTAAACTAAACCGTTTCAATCCGAACCGCTCCAAACCGAAACCGACTCAAACCGAGGTCAAACCGAACTGCCAGACCGAAGTCCCACCCCTATTGAAGAGTATTCCGTATGAAAAAATGACAAGCCGCATAATTTTGGCAAGAAAGCGGGACCCGAAAAGGAAAGAATCGGATTATCGGATCATCGATATAAATGGAATGTGAACTGACAGATTAAAGTCGGGTTGACAATTACTAGGGGTGGGACTTCGGTCTGGCAGTTCGGTTTGACCTCAGTTTGAAACGGTTTCGGTTTGAAACGGTTCGGGTTAAAACGGTTTCATTTAGACGCTGGGTCGGTTCAGTTCGGTTTTGATTAGTCACAGGTCGGTTCGATTTCGGTTTATTTTTGTACGATTTAAATTCGGTTCGGGTCATAAACGGTTCGGTTTATAAACAGTTCGGGTCATAGTCAGATCGGTTAGAAACGGATCGCTTCAGGGGCGGATTTACTCGGGTCAATGCCGGTTCAGTTTTTAAACGGTTCGGTTAATAATCGGGTCGGTTTGAAACAGGTCGGTTCAGGGGCGGGTTTACCCGGGTCAATGCCCGTTCGGTTTATAAACAGTTCGGGTCATGATCTGACCAGTTTGAAACGGATCGGTTCAGGGGCGGTTTTACCGGGTCAACGTCGGTCCGGGTTCATATCGGTTCGGGTCATGAACGGATTATTTTGATATGGGTCGGTTCAGGGGCGGGTTTACCCGGGTTAATGCTAGTTCGATTCATATCGGTTCGGATTATACTCGGTTTGGTGCTAAAATCGTTCGGGTTAGTTTGGTAATCAGCTAAATTGGATCGGGTTGAAATCGAGTTCTAAAAAGTGGTTTTGACCAGTTAGCGCGTTTTGTTTTATATCAAGTTGGGACTAGTATTTCCATTTCATTAGCGGGTCGGCATAGGTTGGTGAAAAAAATAATGGATCGAGTAGAAATTGGGTTTTAAGAGATTTTTGACCGGTTAGCTATTTTCGTTTTATATAAAGTTGGGACTTCGTCACTTTATTTTCAGACATCGGATTATATACAATTACACAAATCTTCAATTATTCAATTATTCTATATCATGTTAATATGTTATGTTTTAAGTTTGGTTATACTCTTGTTGTTGTTTATTCGATATTATCATATTTGTTTATTACAAATTTATAATGTATTAATGTATTATTGTTTCATTATTAAATATATATTATTAGGTTATCAGCTTCTTGTTGGATTGTTTTAGATATCGTGTCATGACCATGTTTTGATGAGTTGCTACTTTGAATACGATAAATCGATTCAGATATCAGATTATATAGAATTACAGAAATTCTCATTCATTCTATATCATGTTAATGTGTTATGTTTCAAATTTGGTTATAGTCTTGTTGTTGTTTATTAAATATTAGTCTATTACAAATTTATAAGGTATTAATGTATTATTGTTTCATTATCAAATATTATCAGGCTATCAGCTTCTTGTTTTAATTGTTTTAAAGATCGCGTCATAACCATGATTTGATGAATTGGTACTTTGAATACGATAAATCGATAATTGATATTGTAATAAACTAATAATTTAATGTTACGGAACTATATTTGGATGTTTAATTAAAATCACGATTATTCAATTTCCCATTAGTCTAATAAAGTAATAATTGACAATTGTTTGTAACTATTCCATAATTTTGGTGTTAAAGTTATATTGCTGAATTACTCTGTTGTCTTACCCTCTCTAATCACCTTTTAAGATTACGTGCCTACAAGGCTGCAACATATATATGTTGCAACTTGCAAGTTAAAGAAAACGGGTGGGGAAGTAGAAGTATTCAATTAGATCGATCATCAACTGTTTTAAGTTTTAATAATCAGATACATTTATCGATTATCTATACATACCAATGATAGTATGATACCAATCGTACCATACATTATTATTTATTACATATACTGATATACATATAACTAATATACATTAAATATGTCATATTGAATCAATTCCAATTTCCAAACATTTGTGTTTCTTACAATTTATAAGTTACATAAAGTTAAGAGTACAGTAGTGTTTTTATTAGTACGTAGCTATGAATAAAAAAAACCATACTATCCAAATCCATTATCCCATGATCCGTGTCACCGTCTTATATTAAATATCAGCCATTGATTTGCATGTCATCTAACGGCCTAACATCGCACACATTCCAATTCACGATCCGTGTGTTTTCTTTTCCACCAATCAGATCACTCTTACCATCGTCTCTTTAGTACTCTTTTTGATTTCTCTCTCGTTTTCTTAATCCTCTTCTGTAATATTATCAATAATATGCTCACTGCTCTCTCGTTTTCTCTCTCATCTCCTCTTCCTTCTTCCTTTCTTCTTCTTCCTTCTTCTCCCTTCTTCCGTCTATGTTCTCCTTTCTTCCATCTCGTTTCTCCGTCTCCGTCCACCGGCACCACGCACGACGGTTTTTATGGTCAAATTCGACCACGAAACTCTAGATCTAGTTGTTTCATGATCAAATTTGGCCTTTTAAAACCAAATTCGAGGCCAAATTCAGGATTAATATATAAGGTGTTTTCGTTCTTCCTTTTTTTTATTTTAGTTTTTCTTTTTAATTTTTTTTTCAAGTTGTGGGCAACGGAGGGGGCCGAGTTAGGGTGGGTGCGGCGGCGGTTAGACTGGGTTCAGGTGGGTGGGGAGGGAGGATTTTTCGAGGGAGGGAGGGAGTTTTATGGTGGGTGAGCAATTAGAGTGAGTTGGGGGGTTTCAAGGATGTTGGGTTTCGTGGGGGTGGGTGGGGTGGGGTTACGGTGGGTTTGGGTTTTTTTTTCGATTTTTTTGTATGGGGTGGGGTGGGGTGTGTTACGGTGACGGTGGTGGGTGTGGTTGGGGTTGGGTCTGGTTTTTTTTTTTTTTTTTTTTTTTTTTTTTTTACAGTGACGGTGGTGGGTGGGGTGGGGTGGGGTTTGTTAAGGGGTGGGGTGGGGTACGTTACGGTGATGGTGGTAGGTGGGGTGGGGTATGGGTCTGGGTTTTTATTATTTACGGTGACGGTGGTGGATGGGGTGGGGTAAGGTTTGGGTCTGGGTTTTTTTATTTACGGTGGGTGGTGGGGTGGGGTGGGGTGGGTTACGGTAATTATGGTGGGTGCGGGGGTGGTGTTAGGGTGGGTCTGGGTTGACGTTGGTGGGGTGGGGGTGGGTTACAGTAACGGTGGTGGGGTGGGGGTGGGTTACGGTAACGGTGGTGGGTGGGGGGTAGTGTTAGGGTGGGTCTGGGGTGACGGCGGGGGTGGTGTTAGGGTGGGTTACGGTGGTGGGTGGGTTTAGGGTGGTTGGATTGGGTGGGTGGCCAAATTTTTTCATTTTTTTATTTAATTTATAACTCCTAATTTAGTTATACAAGAATATAATTTTAATTTTATAATAGCAAAAAAATTTACAAATTTAAATCAATAATTATATGTAAAAAAAATTGTACTGTTAAATTACATTAAACATCAAATATATTTCGTGGAATTCTAACAAATTGTTAAAGGCTGTAAATAGTTCAATATGAATGGAACGGGTTGTAAACGGTTCGGTTTAAATAGTTTGTAATCAGATCGGTTTAAACGGGTTGCGGTTTGAAAATAGTTCGGTTTAAACGGTTTAATGGGTTATAACAGTTCGGTTTAAACGGTTAGCGGGTTGTAAATGGTTCGATTTAAACGGTTTTTTCCTACGGTTTAAACGGTTTCGGTTTATAAACGGTTCGGTTTAAACAGTTAGCGGGTTAACATTAATCGGTTCAAACGGTTTCGGTTTATAAACGGTTTGGTTTGTTATTGGTTTATGGTTCGTAACGGGTTAACATTAATTGGTTCGGTTCGGTTTCGGTTGACATTATACGGTTCAGTTCGGTTTTCGGTTTAAAATTAGCGGGTTATAAACGGTTCGGCCCGTGATGGTTCGGTTCGGTAACGGACGGTTTCACGGTTCGGTTTGAAAAGTCCCACCCCTAACAATTACCATATACGTGTACAACAAACTTTTATTCACATTTTTCCTTAATAAATACTTGTATAGTTAATTAATTAAATTAATGCTATAATTACTGTAAAGTTTTAAAATGGCATACACATGACTTCTTAAATCCAAGCAAAGCTGTTTACCAGTTCAATGTTCCAACTACTATCAATTTTTAGAGTATTTAAAACATAAGACAAAGTAAATCTATATTGCATGATTTGTCAATTATGTAGCACATAATTTAATCATATTATATAAAATTGACTATACAGCCCATCACAATACTTTTTATTTTTATTCTTATCGACTTATCGTATTTAAGTGCAAAGTATGAACATATTTTTTTTACTAGTATAAAACTTAGTTGTTATTTTTAAACTTATTTTGTTTGAAAATGTTTCCTATGTTAAACGGTTTTATAAATTGTGTATTGTATGAAATTGTCTAAAAAAACTTACTCCGTATTAATTTGAATTTATTAAAAAAGGCCTAAAATGATGCTTGTTTCTTTTTAATGAAAAGTAATGCACTAATGCTACCTAATTTAACAATCTATGTCATTATTATTAATAGCTTAATAAATAAATACAAAAAACTAATGTGTACAAATCATTTTTTTGGTAATAATTTAAACCAAAATATACAAGTGTATAGATTTATAACGGAAGATATTCAATCACATTGACTGATGCATAATTTTAATCGAAAATCCTCGCCGTTAACCCAATTATAATATATATGATTTTAAACTAATGAAGTGATCAGATATTATGAAACGAAAGACATAATTCTAACAAACCACAATATTCCTCAATAATTTTTTTTACTCCGTAAATGACAAGGATGGACACTAATTTCACAACAAGAAAGGCTTAGTAAAAACTAAGGTAAAAAAGATTGATTTAAAAAAAAATGGCAAGGAAAAATTCTAAAAGTCAGCAACCTGCTTACTTTGACATTGTCTGCAAGAAAAAGAACCCAACATGGGAACAGCTCAACATCATCTTAATACAACAAAACCACCCTCAAAAAAATGAGAACTAATCAACTAAATTAGTTGCCTATCTTACCTCTTTCTCTCTCCTCCCCCCTCTTTTTTGTACAGATCAAAGAGGATGGCATTCCTAACTAAGACATCCCATTTCTTTCATACCTTCATTCTCTTCTTTCTGTGCCTTAATTCTTTCATTCATCATTCCTTCTGTCAACAAAATATCGAAACCTTCTATCCTTCAGCATTAGAACCAGCATCAGCACCAGCACCAGCAGTAATTCCTCCTAGTAGTCCCGCGGTTCTACCGTCTCCACCAACACAGCCTACGCCTCTGCTGCCACCCCCACCGGATACGACAGGGCCTCCGCCATCACGATCAACGTCTCATAAGGCAATATACACGGCTGTTGGGGTGACAGCTGCAAGCACTCTGGTGGTGGCTGCAGCACTCTTTTTCTTCTGCACTAAGTATACTCAACGGAAGAAGGAGAATGGTGGTCAGGTGCAGACTGTTGGAGCGATTGCTGCTTCGGGTGGAGGAGCTGGAGGTGGTGGTGGAGGAGGGAGGTTGCAGCCGTTGCAGCACACAGAGTTTACGAGGTTTGATGGGAATATCAAAGGGCTAATAGTTGATGAAGATGGTTTGGATGTTCTGTATTGGCGGAAGCTTGAAGGGAGCCAAAGGAAGAGCGGACCTTTTCATAAGGATGTGTTTAACAAAGGAAGCAATGGAAGGAGGACGTATTCTCGAGGCAAATCATCGTCTTCTTACAACCAAATACATCCTAAGGAAGAGCAATCAGCTAGACTGCTTGGTCCTCCTAAACAACTCGAAAACGAAACAACCTTTCAGTCTGTTGGAAGAGCAGAGGAGGCAGAAAAAGTGGTTGTTGCAAAGGAAGAAATCAGTAGAGTTCCGTCTTTACCTCCCCTTCCATCATCCAATTCATCCAAGGCAGGATCGACACCACCACCACCGCCACCGCCACCAATGGCAGTCAAGAAAGGACCTGCTCCACCGCCACCAATGGCGGCCAAAAAAGGTCCGGCTCCACCACCTCCACCGCTCAAGATGGGTGGATCACTAAAACCACCAGCACCACCAAAGCGGACACCAAGTGGAAATATTCGAGAAGCATCTGCCATTGGGGAAGAGGTGTCAGACAGCAAGAATGATCAGGTCAAACTGAAGCCATTGCATTGGGAAAAAGTCAACGTTAATACTGATCATTCCATGGTGTGGGACAAAATTGAACGCGGTTCATTCCAGTAAGTTCAGCATTTGATTTACTTCTTAATCTTAACAAAAAAGAATTACCAAAAAAAAAATCTAATCCCAAATTCCCAATTGAATTGAAAGTTGATTAGTATTATTTTTTGTGCAACAGATACAACGGTGATATGATGGAAGCTCTCTTTGGTTGTGTTGCGACAAACCGTAAATCCCCCAAGGGGGATGCTACAGTTCAAGGTATTGCGAGTCCAAATGCAGCAGCAAAGATTTTCATTCTGGATGCACGGCGTTCCCAGAACATAGCTATTGTAATTCGGTCATTGGGCATCACTCGCAATGAGTTGATTGCAGGGCTCCAAGAAGGAAAAGGGCTGAATGTAGATATACTTGAAAAACTGACCAGAATAACTCCTACACGAGAAGAGAAGATTCAAATCCTCGCATTTGAGGGAGATGCCGGAAGGCTTGCTGATGCAGAATCCTTCCTTTATCATCTGCTCAAGGCTGTTCCCTCATCCTTTACTCGAGTTAGCACCATGCTCTTTAGGTTCAATTATGGCTCAGAAGTCCATCAACTGAAGGAATCACTCCAAACACTTGACTCCGCTTGCACTGAGCTTCGAAATCGTGGAGTATTTTTGAAACTTTTGGAAGCAATATTAAAAGCAGGGAATCGGCTAAATGCTGGGACTGCAAGAGGGGATGCAAAGGCTTTTAACCTTACAGCTTTACGAAAGCTCTCTGATTACAAAAGCAGTGATGGGAAGACCACTCTACTGCACTTTGTGGTTCATGAGGTTGTCAGAAATGAAGGGAGACGGTGTGTTATGAACAGGAACAACAGCTTATCTAGAACAAACAGTCAGAAAAACTCAAGTTCAAACCTAAAGCCGGAGGAATCAAAGTCAAAAGAGGAGCAAGAGAAGGAGTTCTTACAGCTAGGACTACCTGTTGTAGGTGGCTTGAGTTCCGAGTTCTCAAATGTAAAGAAAGCAGCCACCCTTGACTATGATACCATATCAAGCATCAGTACTTCTGTGGGAGCTCGTATTGCTGAAACCCGGCAACTTGTGCTGCAGTGTGGTGCTGATAATGAGGGACGAGATTTCATTGCAGAGATGAAAGAGTTCCTGGCAGCAGCAGAAGGAGAAATAAAGGTTGTTCAAGAAGAGCAGACGAGGGTGATGGAATTTGTAACAAAAACAGCACAGTACTACCAAGCAGGCGGTTTCAAAGACAAACAGCCACTACTGCTATTTGTCATAGTAAAGGATTTCCTGAATACAGTTGATCAAGCCTGTATAGATATTGCTAGGAGTTTGCAACATAAGAAATCACATACATCTAGCGCCAGCTCCTCATCATCATCAACTCCTTCATCACCCCCAAGCCCAGATATTTTAAGGACCCGTGTGACATTCCCAAGGTTACCAAGACATTTCTTGTCAGACAAATCGAGTGGAAGTGACACAGATGATAATAGCTGATAATTACAAGTTCAAGTCTCACAAGGTTGCAGACTTTACGTGATGTAAATACAGGACGAGGAAAGTACACAAGGTCCTTTTTCTTCATTCAATTTGAAAGGAAAAAAAAACAGATTGAAAATATAGAGTGATTCTGGCTTTTTTCTTTAATTTTTTGGACCGGAAATGAGTGATCATTATACTGTAATGTGATTATATTCTCAACACAACCACCCCCTTCCCCCCTCCCAACCCATTCAAGATACGGAACGAAGAAATTACTCTTAGAACTCTTAATCTTTAATTGCACAAAGAAAAAGAATCATTAGATTGCCCAGCACTTTAGGATATGTATTCACAAAGAGTTCTAATTATCAAATAAGTATTGTGCTTGTTCAGGGAACATGAGATTGCAGTTGCCAAAAAAACATATTTCCTATATGTCATGCTATTGTACATAAGTGAGGTAGCTGGGAACCTGTACCAATTCAACACCAAAATATGGTTTCATTTTGAACAGAATGTCCTGATTCTGAAAATTTGAAGTCATAAGCAGTTTATTGTGTATATTTGAGACTTCAGGAAACATATTATGGAGAATTTGTCACCTACATTAGTTTATATTGTTTCCTATTTTCATGTGATTAGGATTCTATTTTTTTTGCATATGCTCCAACTCTACAAGCATGTACTTGTATATAAATTGTAAGTTTGTAACACATTCCCAAAAGTTTATTCAAGTAAATTGATATTTTTTTTTAAACCTTGCTGAATATATCAAATCAACAGCCTTTTGATCCTCTTAAATTAACTAATTTCAAGTAACTCGTAATTTTCATATCAAATCCATTGGGTTAAGGCATTTAGTTTGTATTTAGTATAATATGTTGTATTTTAGTTGAATACAAAAGTTATACTTATCATTAAATTGCATTTCTAAATAACTTACATTACATAAGTAACCAAACTGGCAGAATGAAGCAATCACTCTTCTGATTGGTTTGCAGTTTGCCATCAAATTAATAATTTGAAAGGGATAACATCTTTAACATTAATATCTAGCAGGGTAATTAAAGGTGTCCTACTGTCCTATGAGGATCCAGCTCCTAATAAACGCTCGTTCTGCAATTTCACCACTTGTCATCCAACCAACTTTGACCCAAAAGCAAGCCATTTAAGCAACTAAACATATGTTCTCTTTTGGTTTATTTTAAAGCTACGGACTGTTCTACAAAGCAGTCTTTTCACCTTATTACTCTAGATAATTTAAGCTAAGATGCTTGAACTCTAAAACAAAAGTCATACTCCGATACAAATTTAACTTGAAAATATAAGAACAAATTACTAGTTTCCATATTTCAACCTTGAACACTAGGAATTGGATACTTTCCTACATTTTAGATTTCTAACTCAAAATCAAAGTATTCAAATACTTAGAGCCTGTTCTGATTTAATAAACTGAGTTGAGCTGAACAGAGCTAAACTGATTGTAACTGAGCTGAATTAAATATAGCTGAAGTGAATATTTTATGAGAGAAAGAAATTAGGAACTGAACTAAACTGATTGGAGCTGAACTGAAATGAATTGAAATTAAACCGAAGAGAACAGACCCTTATAATGTCATAATCCAACACTCACACTTTAGCTAAAAGGAAAATTTTAAGCATCGTAGGGATTAGGTAAGCAACTTTCTCCCTTTACGAGAAGTAAAATTTCCTATGAATTTGTACTAGTATATTCTTTTGGGCCAAACAATTATCCAAAATTCTATTTTCCTATAAGTATAAGGCCCTACCTTGTCAAAAGAATGATCGTTATGCATTGATGGAAGCAAAAAAATACTATGAGAACAAGTGTTTCCATTTCATTTTGTGTACCCATATGGCCATATCACATTATTGACACTTTGATGTGGAATTGTTTGATAATAGACACTTTATATTGCAACAAAAACATGGAAGTCTTGTCCAATTGATTGTCAAGTCTTACACAAATACACCATGAACACATCACACATATTTGTGTTTGATATTAGTATCAAGTATCGAAGTCAAGTAACTTAGGGGCCTTTTTTTTATTTATTATCTGATCTTAGCAAAACTTAGGGTCTGTTCTCATTGACTGAACTCATTGACTGAACTGAGCTGAGGAACTGAAATGAATATTTTATAAGAGAAGAAAATTAGGAGTTGAGCTGAGCTGAACTAAGCTGAGCTGAACTGAATTTCAACGTAAGAGACATAGACCCTTACTTGAACTTAAATGACCTTACATTAGTTGTAAATCAAGCTTATATCGCCCTTATTAAGGCTAATCAGAACATGTATGAACATATTTTTCTTGAAATTATCTTGTGAGAACTAACCCTTATCTAAATTTGCATTTCTTATATTAAGCTTGTGTACAATTCATCTAGTTTTTACTTATCTAAACTTATTAGACCTTATTAAAACTTTTTTGAGTTGTAATTTGAACTTGGGTCACCAACTGGACTTATCTGAATTTATAAGACCTTAAATAAGACCTTAAATAAGTGAAAAAAGGTAAACGGAACAAGTTCTAAGGCGATATAACGTGAACGGAACCGGACCTTAGTTTTGGAATTACTTCATAGAATTAGCCCAATTAAAAATGGGATCCTTTAGTTTTGACAGGCCTATTCAGGTCTCACCTTGCTTTGCTTTGCTCCTACATTCTCAACTCTGAATTTGCCTTCCAAATATTAAAATACTCAATTCAAAGAAGAGATATACTTGGCTTGAAATACAAAACTAAACAATCATAGAAATGCAAAGTTATTGAACACATACATGAGAAATCGAAACCAACCCACCAAAAATTAACTAATAAAAATTAACACAAAACCATGGGATAAAGTCAACAATCTACAACTATTCACAGAAATAAATAAAACCCAATTTACCAATTCTTCAATCTCAAATAAAATAATAACACCACAACCGCAAAGTAAAGAGGACCAGCCAAAATTGAAGAAAGATAAGAACTTTACATTCTTACCTCATATGATGACAGTAGCAGTAGTAGTTTATCTTCCCACTGATTTTGATTAAATCAAATTGTGTTGGTTATTATTACAGATGATGAATTTTCTCTTCTGGGTCACTGTAAAAACCTTTCAAATGGTATGATTATGCTTATTGAAAGTTTAATTGGGTTGAAATATTCAAATGGGTGTCATTTGGGATTGAATAATGTGTATTTTGACCTCCGTACGAAGAAGAAAGGGCCAAGAATTTGATTTTCCAAACTTTCTCATTACGTTTTTCTTTAGCAGAACTTTCTCATTACGTTTGTTTGCCGTATCATAAAGGTTTTTACCAAGTACTGCCTCCATTTTAAAAAATTGATTACATTTGACAATTTTTTTTTCCTTAAGGATGTACCTCAACTTCTCAATTTTTATTTTATTTTATTTTATTTTTTATTATTTGCTTTATTTTTTTACAAAATGAGAGATAATTCAAGTGGTTAGAGTTTTATTCCCGATTTCATCAGATTTTGGGATCAATTCTCACCTCAAAACATGCCTAGATCAAAACAGTCATTTTAAATTGTGTTGGCAAAAATAAAAAAAGTATAAGACAATAAAAAAAAAAAAAAACCACATTGGTAAGTGTAACTCTTAAAAAAATATGGTGGGAGTACAAACTACAGAGTATTACACATCCTCCAACTTTTTCTACTTCTTATTTGAAACAATTTTAACTTTACCAAATTTATAAACTCCACTTTTGGCGATTTTAGTGATTTATAGTTAAGAAAAAAAAAAACCTTGTTAACTAAAGACCTTGGGTTTGTTTAAGTTTGAGTTTTTGTTAGATTCATTTTAGTTTATGCATTACAATCTACAACTTTTATAATTTTTACTTATATATAATAAAAAATAAAAAAGATTGCTATTGAAAAAAATAATTTTTTTAAAAAAAAAGTAGAGAAAAAAATTATATAATGGCCTTGTTTGGTTGACAACATAAAATGTGGAAAATAAAAATTCATACGATTTGATAAATTAAAATGTTATTTGGTTGACAACAAAAGAAAAAAAGGGGAAAGTAAATTATACTATACCCTTGTTTGGTTGACAAATGGGGGAAGTAAAAATTCATAGGATTTAATAAATTAAAATGTTGTTTGGTTGACACAAAAGTAAAAATGGGGAAAGTAAAAATTCATACGAATTTCAACTTCCCACAAAACAAGGGAAGTAAATTACCAAGCTCCCCCTGATCAATTTTATTCATGGGATTTTTAAATTGATCATTAGGGAGTAATATTTTTTTGTAAAAAAGAAAAAAAAAACTTTGATTCCATGTTATTTTTCTATTTTGGTGAATTTTGGTTGTAAAATCCTACATTCACTTTAAAAAAAAAATATAATTCACTTGTTCTCCTAAAATTACATGCAAATTTAAAAGATAATTTAGGCATATACATCAAATTCCAGCAATTAAGGGGTGTTTGGTGGGTAAGAATTGGGGTTTGGAAATGGGAAATGGGAAATGAGGTAGGAGCTTATAAAACGCTGCTTGTGTTTTATGAGATTGTGATTTGGAATATAATTAGGTTTATTCCCATAATCTCATGTATTTATGGGGTGGAGAGAAGTAAATGAGGAAGGCCTAGTTAATTTTTGGGATGAGAATTGAGAATAAAGAGGAAGAGACTAACGAAAGGAAAAAGGATAAAAGAGAAAAAAAAAAGTAAGGGTATTATAATAACTTTTATATTACTGATCCCAATCAATTCCATCACAACCCCAATCAAAGCATTATCAATATTTCATTGAATTCCCAATCCAATTCTCACCATCTAAGACCCCATTCACTTCACCCTTATTTTTGCTAAACTGAAATTATTTTTATTAAACTGCTATTATACTTTTTCTTTAAGTTTAACGATTTTTATTGAATTGAAATTATTTTATTTTTACTGAATTGAAATTATTTTTACCGAATATTATTTTATTTAAGGTGAATTGAAGAATACCTAAGTTCTAAGTTGATACCGCCTCTTAAAAGCTTGCCGAAAAAACCATGAGAGAGAAACCTAGTGAGAATGAGTCCCCATCCCCCTCCAAACAACAACCCCCCACTCAACCGCCACCAGCTGTTTCGCCTCCTTCTTCACCTCTTTCTTCTCCTACGAGCTACCCCTTGCTCTAACCCCTATCCTCCCTCAACCTCATACTCAGTCGTTCCTAGATGCTGTTAAAAACAAACAATCTTCATTCCTTGCTTGTCCTCAAGCAGCCACTTGTCTTCTAGACTCCTTTAATGTAGAAAAAGAAATGTTTGTTCCAATAGATGATCGTAAATATGAGGCTCTCTGTGATGATTGGCTAACATCAATAATCTCAAAACCCTGCGGGAAATCATTCTCCACCGAGTTCTACACGGATAACCTTAACAAAATGTGGAAACCCAATGCTGCCATTACTTCATACCCGATTGGAAAGGGTTTCTTCATCACGAAATTTAGGCATCACAAAGATCTTGATCGAGTTCTCTCTGCAGGTTGTGCCTTGCATTGGTTCCTCAATGGCACATTCATCTCCGTGGAAAGATGGAAGCTCGGCTTCAAACCTTCAAACGCTCCTTCAAATAGGTCAACAATATGGGTTGAGTTACCTGAACTCCCTGCTGAGCTAAATAACCAAGCCATGTTGACCAACATAGGCAATTCCATCAGTATCTTTGTGAAAAAAAGATACTTGAGGTATCAACTATCTAAGAATGGCCAAAATACTTATCGTGATCAATGAAGATCAACCCAGAAAAAGCCATATTTGGCTAGGCAGATTAAAACAAGAAATTTGGTACAAAGACCCTAAAAAAAAGCAGCCACCGACCCATAAACCATAAATACCTCCCAGCCGCAACGCACCACCACTTTCAGTGCTTTCCACCCAAACCTCTGATCACCAATTATCGATTCATGGCCAGAAAAACGTGACGCCGGAGGTTCTGCATACGTCTACGAACGATGCATGGTAGATTGTTCCGAGAAAAAGCAAATATTTGTCTTTGTTATCCGCTGGATATCCAACGAAGCAAAAGGGGGACCACCAAATAAAAGTTTCAATTCTAGCTCACGTGGGTACGACAAATGAATTCCAATTGTTACAATTAGAAATTGAAGTAAGTAGGGCCCCGAAAGATTGCAATAAGCCTGAATACCCCCTTATCTCTCTGAACAAAAAATCCTTCCAAATCCCCTTTTCATCCTTCCTAATTTTTCTTCAAAATAGGGCCGCCTAAACTCTTCTTGTCTTCTCCAATGTCAAAACACCTTGCCTCAAACCCCTTCCTAATAACCGGCGTTTTTCAAAAACCAAAAGCTATACTCCATTCTACCCCATTGTTTTATAACCGAACAAACCCCTCAAAACACCATATGGTCTTCTCACCTTCTCCAGGAAAATGGAAAACAAAAACCAAGAAAAAACCAAAGCCATGCTATCGGCGATTCAACGCTACCACTCAAAAACCAGTCTGGTGACGGTGATCCTTTCACCAACAAGGAACATCATCACTTTAACAAAACCGCAATACACCAAAACAGAATCCTTGATTAATCTCCAGACGTTTTATGTCAAAGGAATTCTGGGATCATATCGTGGCATGCCCTCACAACAGGGATTGTTCACCAGATTCTGCTAGATCTGGCGAACATCGCTCCAATGTTCACAAACCTGAAAACAGGGGATCCCACGAACCCAAAGGTGTTGTTGCCGGCACATCTGCCATCTCTAGCGGATGTGACCCTGATGTTCGAGCCCTAGGTATCCTCCCGAAATGGTGGATAAACGAACTACAAAAGAAGTTTGGGGATGGTGATGCCATGGGAGCTCCAACTGTTGTTCGATTTGGAGCCCATTCTTCCAAAAGAAAGAAAAATCTTATCGATTACAAGCGATTGGCTAGTGGATCAGTCCGTTGTTGGAACAAACAATGTAAAATGGCTTCACCTCACATGGGAAGCGACCCAAATCCAGTTGCATTGCGGTTGGGGGAAGAAGAAAAACTCCAACTTGGAAATGTCGGGCATCAAAATCAAGAAAACACCCTGGAAAAATTCAGCCACTACTCGGGCTAGCATGTCACCCTCGACAACGATGCGGCCTATGAAATGAAGACGGAGATGACCAATTTCCCAATTATGAAAGCGGGAATGTCGATTCTGTTATGGAACACTAGGGGAATCGCTCGCCATGGGTTTAAGAAGAACTTCCGGAAGATGATGAAGGATCATGGCCCAGAGATTGTGATCCTTACTGAAACAAAGGTTAAAAAATCAAGGGTGGAGGAGCTCATTGATAACCTTCCATTCAATTCGTTCGAGGTGGTGGATCCGGTGGGGCTGTCAGGGGGCATTCGGATGCTTTGGAACAATGGAGTGAACTCCATCACCATTGTCACCAAAGATCACCGCGTCATTCACGCCATTTTGCAGGTGAATAACAAACCCCCTTTCTTATTTCCGTAGTTTATGCTAGTACTCTTTTTAAAGCAAGATTGGGAATGTAGGATGAACTTTTATATTAGCGCCAACTATTTCCCTCCCTTAGCTAGTCTGTGGGGATTTTAATGATATTTGTTTTGCCCACAAGAAATGGGGAGGCAATCCCCACCGCATAACTCAAATGCAAGAATACAAGGAAACCATGAACAATTGTAATCTTATGGACCTCGATTATACAGGCCACAAGTTTACATGGTTCAATAGAAGGAGAAATTATCCTATTTTCGAAAGACTGGACAGGTTTTTGGCTAGCCTATCGTGGATCCAATTATTTCAAGATGTGGTGGCCCAAAATCTCTGAAGAATGTCATCGGATCATAATCCATTGCTTTTACATCTGGATAAAAAATTCAAATACCGAGTCAAAAGCTTTTCCGGTTTGAGCCCATGTGGCTATCCGACCCTGAATTTGGACCTCATCTAGCCAAAAGTTAAATTATCTAGCCAAATCGATAGGTGGTTGGACCTCATCTCACTTTGGATTAGTCCAAAGAAAAATAAAAAAAATCAATTCAAGAATTGAAGGGGCCCAACTAGCCTATTAGCGCAGCCCTTCAAACGTTTTCTTGTTTGATTTGGAAAGATCAATGAATGAGGGAATTGCATTTACTTCTTGAACAAAAAGAGGTGTATTGGGAGGCTAGAGTTCATACGGTCGGATTGGTTAATAAATGATGATAGGAATACTCATTTCTTCCATCTACCCTAGACAATCCGAAAAAAGAAAAATAAAAGTGTGACTTTAAAGAATTATGTGGGCATTTGGCTGACCGATCCCAAACAAATTCATGATCACATCATCTCCCACTTCTCTTCCCTTTTCAAAACAGAAAATCTCAACCATCCTACCACCACAACTTCTTTTGAATTCTTCAACTGTTCT